CAAAAGTTGTTGTCCATTGTATTATATACTAATGAAATCCATTGTATTTGTGGGTATCCATGTTCTTTTGAACTATGTTCCTGTTGTATAGGGATTAACTACAGGACAACAAAAAATGACTTTACGCCCCCATATGGTTGCTTAGAGACTTACACTTTGAGCTGGAAAGAGAAATATTTACTATAAATTATGCAATGGACTGAAGACCTTAAAGCCCTGACTACATTTGTGATCATACTTTTATAAACATCAATTTTTTTGGAAATCTATTTGGACATTTGAATGGCATATGTCAATTTTTAAGTGTAAATTAAGATGGATGTAGTGGTGTATATTATATGGTTAATGTGAACTGACAGCGGGTTTTATTTCTTCCTCTTTTTGTTCTCTTGCTTCCCCTTCTCTCTCTATCTCTCTATCTCTCCTTTTTCTTTAGACGTTTTCAATAAAAATCAATAAAAGTATTCACTTAGGGGTTTTTTTAAGCTTGTATGGTAACTTTGCTATTTGTTTCCCTTTCTTTTCATTGCAAGTGATGTCAGAAAATTCTGGATATTCATGGCATTCTTTATAAAATTACTACCTTCACCATTTTCAGTAGGCAGAAATATAAGGTTCACAGGCTGCAGTGAAGTACTTATGGTCATCTCTCTTCTCTCTTCTCAGAAAGAAATATTTCTTTCTGACCACTTTGAGGAGTTTTGCGGCTAAATTCATTAGCTTTTTTCTCCTTAACATTTGGGGTCACATTGTTTCTAGTATATGAATGCTGTATGTGCTTTCAGGTGATTATTTCCCCTCTTGATGCCATTGTACTTGCTTCTTTCACTTAGAGTGACAAGTTCTTCATTTCCTAATTGCCCACATTCCATTTATTTTTAATCTAAAAACTCACTGTTAAAAGGCAGTTGGTACCTTGTAGAATCATCATCTATTTCATTTCCTTCCTCATTTATTAATGAAGCTTCTGTCTCTTTTTCCTGGCATATTAAATGCTTCCTTCTTAATACTTTTGATTCATTTCATCCATATGTTCTCTCTGCCTAGTTCCTTCTTAAAATCTTTGGGCATGCCAGTAGAAGGCTACAATTAGTCAGGAAAAAAACACCAAATCTCTTAGGCTGATGTACTTTGCTTCTAAAATGAAACATGACAGAGCTCCACCCTACCAGGAAGCTATGCTCCTTATCTAGGAATTCCTTTATCCCAGGGGTGGAGGAAGGGGGCGGTGGGGGCGGATGACCCAGGTGTCACCACTGAGGGGGTGACAAAATGCTGGGCAGCACTCATCGCGGGGCCTGCAGCGTGCCCGAGTCACATGTCTCTCCTGGGAGTGATGCTGTGGCTTGGGTGCCCGCAGGCTCCATGCTGCCCCAAACGGTCTGCCTGCTGCCTTCCCATCAGCTGTAGGGTGGCTGAGTGGGAGGAGGCAGGCAGACTCCTCGGAGGCCCCACAGAGTATCCTGCCCCAGCTCGCCCCACCCTGCGGGCGGCTGGCCCCTCCCCTGGGTGCAGGGCACGCATGCCGCCCTAGGTGCCCTATCAGCTTGGTCTGCTGCTGCTTCATTCTACTAATTGTAGACTGGGCATAGGCAAACTCGGCTCTCCAGATGTTTTGGGACTACAACTCCCATCATCCCTAGCTAACAGGACCATTGGTCAGGTATGATGGGAGTTGTAGTCCCAAAACATCTGTAGGGCCGAGTCTACCTATGCCTGTTGTAGACCATAGATGTGGTTTCTCACATGTGCTAAAGCAAGAGGCATCGAAAGATTCACTCAGGTATGCAAAACTGTTGTAAGTCACCATGAGATCCCAGAGATACAGGGCCACTTGAAATATTGGAAATAAATAAATGAACTTTATAAATATGGTATGACTGTCCTAGGAATGCATTTTGATGGAGATCCCACAAACCCGTAAGGACCTTTTCTGTAGAGGTGACAACCCCGTAGAAGGCATTGCTATGCATGTTGCGTCAGATATCACTGTATTGTATTGCACAGCTAGTGAAGATACCTTTTGTCTGTTTGTTTTCTTTTCTGGCTTATTCTGCTTCAGTTCTGAACACTGTTGAGAATTCTTGTGATTCTGGTTTTTATTTTAATGTGTTGGCTTTGTGGTTGTGTTTGGAATTGGGTACTGCTATATGTTTTAATACTTTAATATGATATTTTGTTAGCTGCCTAGATTTCCTTTGAATTAGGTGGGACATACATTTTTAAAATAATAATATGTATAATGTGTGTACCTGACCCATTAAAATATATGGCTCAGGCTACTCAGGAACTGCTATCATGATCACAGTGGCTGAAATTGCAAAGACTTCTGCCAGGAGGTTTGGATATATCAGCCAGTAGCCTGAGTTGCACAATATGGGCTGAATCCAGACAATGTTAGTCATACTTAGGTACCACAGAAATCAATAGCCATCACTAACTTTTCAACCATTTTGCACATTAGAACCAGTCCAAAAACAGTCCTTGAAAACTGGACAAGGCCTTTATTGCTTAGATTAAGTACCCAATATTTCATACATAGGAAACGGCTTTCTCACACAGATTCAGTTTTGGCCAGCACTGAACTCAGTGGGACTTGCTTCCAAGTAAGCATGTATAGGATTGTGCTGTCAGTCTCTAATACCAAAAGTTAACAATCAAGGCCAGCTCTTCCAAGCGGGAGAGTGAAGCAACATTATTCAGGTGGTACTAGGAATGTGTGTGAGAGAGACACACAGGAAGGCAGGAAGCAGAGTCTAAATATGCAGCAAAACATTTTTTTAATGTGTTCGTTCTAGTGGGGCGGGGGGAAGCACCAGTTGGGCATCAAAAGTCATCAGGCATCAAAAGTGAAGGTGGGCATTAATATACAGAAAAATGGGAAAGGAAGCAAATCTAGTTTCAGTGATTCTGAAGCAGCTAGAATTGCTTATAGAAATTATTTTCTTCTCGCTCTCTTCCCTGCTGCAAGAACTATGAATCACTACATCATTTTGATTCCCCTCTATCCCCTTGTCCACAATAACACTCTTCTAGTTCCATGTTAACAAGCCAGGCAACTCCCTTTCTTCTTAGTGTGTATCCTCTAATAAGTCAAACTTTAATAATCCATACCAAGAATATCTAATATGGGGGGTTTCATTTTGCATTACTCTATCTTTCTTCAACAACGGGAAGCAAAGGGGCATTAAATGTTTGGCTTTATTTGGGGGATCAAGGACTGTACTCTTGTGGCAGTTTTGTTTCTTTGCCACAGAATTGCCACCATTCACATATTACAGAATAAACAGAGACAAAGTCAGCATTTCCCACTACACAAATGGTGTCTTACTATAGGATGGTATTCAACTACATTTTACTCTGAGTAGTAGACTCATTGAAATTAATGGACCTACTTAGTCATATTCATTAATTTCAATGTATAGTTGAATACCACCCATAGTTCCTCTATGTCTTTTGCTATAACCTTATCCATTAGCAATCCATTATCATGGACTGGCTGGATGCAAAAATGTGGTGGGATGCACCAGCTGGAAAGAAGGAAAAAAGACTCAGAACTAGTGGATTGGTAGTGGGATGATGATGAGTGGTCAGAGGGAGAAGAGAGAGCAGACTGGGAGGAGGAGGCATTGGAAGCTGAAGGGTTTAGTGAGCAAGAAGAGTCTGAGGCAGAGACCAGTCCAGAATCAGAGGCAGAAGTGGAGGCTGGAGACTAGTGGGGACAAAAGGCAGAGGCAAGGCAGGCTGCTGAAGAAGCCAGGGAGGTCTCCTGCTGCTGCTGCTGCTGCTGCTGCTGCTAGCAGTTCCCCTTGCCCCTGGTCTCCCAGAACCAGAAGAAGTATGAAGAGGGTGCAGCAAAGACAGACAAGGAAAAGAAGTCACAGATTGCTTGGGAAGGACTCAGGGAAGAGGAGACTTTGAGAGCTGTGGGAAGGTGAGGACCTTCAGTTTTTGCAAATGTCTCACTGGGGCAAGATCTACCATGAAAAGTTGCTGAGCTGTTGTTGTTGTTCTTTAACAAAGAGAGTTAACTTCGCTGATACTATGTGAGTTCTTGCTGACCTGGTCTTGACATCTGCCCTGATATATTTAAAAAATCTGAATTGGTCCTAGTCACTTACACATTGCACTTTCAAACCTCATCTGCCCATTACAGAGCTAGAAGGGACCTAGAAGATCATTTGGTTTAATCATCTACAGCATCTCTGACAGATGCTTGCCCATCCTCTGCTAAATACCTCCAGCAAGTTTCCACCCATAGGTCCTTGTCTAAACCTGTGGGACAACAGAAAACATGTCTGCTCCATCTTCTGCAGGACAGCCTTTCAGATATGTAAACACCAGCAAGTCTCCCAACACAACTTTTAGTGAAAAAGGGAAAAAATATTTGGTAAAAAGAAAGTACAAGTAGACAGTAAGTGATACTAAAAAAGAATTTGAGGAACACATTGGTAAAAACATCAAGACCAACAACAATAAATTCTTAAAATACATTAGTAGCGACAGGCTGTCCTATGATGACCAGACGGGCAGGTGATTAGACTATGCTTCTGTTGTGTGGATGGTAGCCCAATAGGGAAGTGTCAGCCTGAAGGACAGGCTCACCGTAGAATTGCATGCAGATGACCACCATGGATTGTGTGAGCAGACCATGTCCCGTTAGCTGCCAGGCTGGTGGACTTGCCTTGCATCACCAAGAGTCTAAAAAGCACTGATAGGAAATCTTTCTATAAGACAACGGTATTTGCCAAATGCTTACGTGCACTGTGGATGGTGAACTCTATCCTATTCAGGAAGAGCCAGCTCCTGAGAAAGCCAATGTCAAAACTCTTTCAAGTATTGATGTCAAAAGCCAGTAAGAATAAAGACAAGGACAGAGAGAAAAAGTTCCTCTGGAATTATGGCATTACTCTACCAATGAAGAATATGAGGAAGAGGCAATTCAGAAGACAGCTAAGGAGTAGTACATTAACTATTGCAGGCATAGCCAAACTTGGCCCCCCAGCTCTTTTGGGACTACAATTTCCATCATCCCTGACTGGTCCTGTTAGCTAGGGATGATGGGAATTGTAGTCCCAAAACAGCTGGAGGGCCAAGTTTGGCCATGCCTGATACTATCGTATTAGATGCAGATCCTATGTTGTGAACTAATCTGCCTGGCAACCAAACTTATTGAATTCAGCAGTTCAACCTCCATTATTAATCTTATGCGATTTTAAAATCTTTCTTTCAATACAGCTTCCCCCTCACTACAACCTTGTTTTAGAAAGCTTGGCCAACTTGAGGAATCAGATGCTTGCAAAAATGTTTGAATGAATCCAGGAGACAGTTAGACCCGGCCCAAATCAGTATGTTATATTGAGCAGCACCTTCAATATACAAATGAAGTATACACTTTTATTCCAATGGTATAGTAATTTTCTTTTCTGAGAGTAAATTGAATAAATGGACACTATTTAGTTCTTTATTCCTTTACTTTTCACTGTGTTTGTTTCACACTGAAGATGCATTTCCTTATGATGTGTCGTGTTCTACTAGTCAAAATTCAAATAGCTACTCTTGGGATATCTCTCATTTTTCCAGACAATTTATGAAATCTCTGTTGATAAAATCATCTCCCCATGTGGGCTTGAAGTCTTTTTTATTATTAAGTAGAACTCTTTTTATGGTTAAATTTCCTCTTAGGTAGCTCCAGACTTCTATAAAATGATAACATTTTGTGGAATCTGTATAGAGAATCAGCGGATTTTGGAGCACCCAGTCTATTAGAAGTCATCTTTAAACTTTTGAAAATGAGCTATTATTTCAAAAGCACACTATGCTGTCAATGCAATATACTCAATGACACCAAATTATGTCCTCTATTTATTTGACCAATAGAGTTTGACTAAGATGACTTCATCTCCTTTATACATAGTAAGTTCATATTTATGTAGCTTTCTGCAAAGAGAATATTGCTTTGTGGTATTATTGCACTTTTGTACAAAATGACACCAAATGTAATGATTTCAACTGCCATCAGGGATGTTTAATTTTACAATTATTGTTCATTATCATGTGCTTAACAAAAAGATAATTATCAAGATACACTTTTTTCTGTCATTGAGATAGATGGCTCACTAACAAATTTACATATAAATGACTAAATGAAAAGCAGCCTTGTCTCATGTTTATAGCAGGGGATTGAGAGTCAGGACCTTGAGTCATTTTCATAGCTTGCTGTGAATTCATTGAGTTTGCAAAATAGCAACCTTTGGGTGGCTTCTTATCCATAGGAAGAATTCCAATTACATAACAAGGTAGTTTGAGGGCATAACTCAGGATGTGGAAAGCACTTAGCAGGCTTGGAATGATTGCAGGAAACATTAATTGATAATCGGTGTAATTGAGAATTCAGAACTTAGGCTACACACACACACACATCCCAAACATCAAATAGTACAAAAAAGCAGAAATGCCGTTTTCAGTGCTCTAGAGTCTAGGAGGTAGACTAATGAATGTGAGAATCAAAGGCCTTCCTACTATATTTTTATTTGATCTGTTCTCTCCAACTCCTGTGTTCATATTTGTTCCAGAGTTTAAAGTGTTATTTCTTCATTCATGGTTTGCATATGCTTTGCTTGCCATTGCATCAAAGTAAAACATGTTGCACAACGTCAGTTCCTCTGCATGATCATTCATTTGCTTCTTGTGGTCATGGTGGTGGGTCTGTAGGTTTAAGCACATCTGCCCATTCAATTTCAGCTACAAGACATTGGAAGGAGAAATCTTGGCAGTGTAATCGACAGAGCTGTCCAGAAACATCTTCAGTCTGTTCAGCTTACTATGTCAACATGAACAGATACATAAAGAACTGCTATTAAAAAGCAAACTTAACAATCCAATGCAATATTCACTGATAAGGCTGTCCAAAATGGGCAAATAACATGATTGCCATGAACCGCATGAACTGTTGACACTAGAGTTGCATTGGCAGGCTCAGAGAAAGAGGAGAGGAAAGCTCAAGGGGTGGAGCCCAGCTTCAGCCCATAATACGAAGTTCTAACAGTAAATTCTTCAAGGATCATGATACCATGCGGGCTGTTTACACCCCCACCCCCAAGAATCAATTAAGTAATTACAAGGTGCTTGTAATAATAATAAAAATCCCCTTTAGTCAGGAAAATTACTGAGTGAGCAGATTTTGGGGGCTCTTCCAGATGAGGCTTTTGTTCTGCATTTGCTCTGCCTTATTCTTACATTTGCTCCTGTTCTTGAAACATTCTGTCATTCTTTAAATGGAAGCTATCATTGTCTGTTTTGCACACATTAAAAAGATAACCCCCCCCCCAAAAAATCCTTATGGTGAGGGTGAAGCACAGCTTGGGGGAGGGTAACAATTTTTATTCACTCCTATAATTGGGAGAGATTCCAACACACACACACTCTAGCCTCTAATGGGATGCATGTGGTCTTTTCACTGCAGAGTAAATAAGTGCTTCTACCTCTGTCAGCGACAGGTTTTTGTCTGTATGTGGCATTTGAAAGGATCTTTAACACACTTGATAATAGGGCCACATTATAATTTTGTCCATATGGGTCAGCTAAGCATTTTGTTATTTTTCTTTAATGCATGCCTTGAATTCTTTTCCTCACATATACCATGGAGTGTGACTCATCCATAATTGGTGAAGCTTAGGTAGAGAATAGCTCCTAGGAGAAATGCTTATTCTGAGTATTGCAGTGGTGTACATTTTTGTCAAGTTCCATAATTATTCCTGTAATTTAGTTCTTTTTTATGTGATGCTAAAGTATCAGGATAGAAAAGTCATCACAGTTTTAAAAAATAAAAATAAGAATACCCATGTTGCCTAGGGCAGTAACTGCCAACTGGGATGCAGGTTCTCTTCAGTCAAGCTGCTCAAAGTCCAGAGCATGTTCCCCTTCCCTATGGGCTCATCACTCCATGTCAGAAGGGATCTACCCCTTCAGTACTTCAGTGGTAGAGCATCTGCTGTGAATGCAGAAGATCCTGGATTCAATCTCCAATATCTCCAGGTAGGGCTGGGAGAGACTGCTGCCTGAAGTCTGAGGGATCCACTGCCCAACAATCATGAGTTAGAGGGCCTAATGGTCTGATTCAGTATAAGGCAGCTTCTTATATTCACCTGTAATAGTTTTTCTAGGGTGTCTAACTAAAATGGCTGGGCCAAGATGAATTTAAGAGGAGCGCTCTTGAGGCATCCGTCTTCAGGGTTTAATCAACATACAAAATGAGACAGCAGAGATGTCTTCCTGCTGCCTTCCTGCTGCCATCCTGGTTTTCTAGGGTTCTACATCTTGCAGACAAGCCTACATCAAGTAACACAGGCTCCTCACTGAAGATGCCCCCCCACCCCACAACTAACGGAGAGCACCAAAGACAGCAACTTATCTGTCCACACTCTCCCCCTTTGCATGCTGATTGTAACACAGAAAATGAATGTCCAAATATGAATGCACAGTTCCCTCCTTAGGTTGTGAAAGCCCCTTCTGTTAGGAAAGGATCGACTGCCCAATGTAAGTTGCAGGGGCCCCTGTAACAATCTGACATTTCAAATAAGAAGGTGCACAATAGGGCTGTGCATCAGATTTGGTTCAATCGTGAATTGAATCAAGTCAGTTCAAGCTGATTTGTATCTGTCTAGATTGGCTTGAAGCAACTATTTATCACTGCAGGGTGGATAAGCTGGTCTCAATTCAATTCGTAGAGATTTGTGCAGATTGTAGCTCAAAACAGCCTCAGAAATCCACAGTGTCACCAAAAAGTTGCAGTAGTGGGGAGGAGTAGAAGAGGGGAGCTGGAGGAGGTGTACACCCCACATTCTCCATTCACCCCACATTCTCCATGTTCTGACCCATAGAAAGTGTTTATTGGAGTTGGGTGGCATTTGTTGAGCTTGTGTTTGCTTTCTATCCTTTCCCAACCAATCCCAGTCCAATCCTTTTTTTTAAAAAAAGTTGTTTATATCTATATCTATATCTATATCTATATCTATATCTATATCTATATCTATATCTATATCTATATCTATATCTATATCATCTATCTTCAAAATGATGTGGATGCTTGCCATTTGCTAACAACAAATTATAAGATGGGACCAGCTTGTGTTTCTAAGCCTAGCAGAATTACACATTTTTAATAATATCATCCAGGAGCCAAACCTTTGGGGCATATTATTTAACCACAACCTTATGAGTTCATGATAATAATGCATTAAAACTGGCCTGACTGATCACTCTTAATCTTTTTTATTATAAAAAAGTAAATGCAAAAAAGAGAGGAAAACTACCCATCTGCAATTTGGCAGAGTTAATCCCCTCTATGGCCCCCTCTGTGGTGGCTACTATGTCTTTATGTCTAAAATAAGAAAGTTATGAGCATCTTCATTTCACAGATAATTGAATTTCTGGAGATTCGTAAAATCCATATTCAGATCAGACCGTGCCCAGAGCAATCTGAACCATAACAGGCCTGATCCAGATTTAAAAATTGGAGCCACAAATTGGATTGTGGGGTTCATGCCCAGCCCTAGTGCTTGTCAGCAAAGAAGAAAGATCAGGGGCAGTGAGTCCCATTTCACTGCTTGAGTTGAAACAAGAAGTACCACCCCATTCTGCCACAACTGCTGCCATGCTGTACCACCCACCCACCCCACCACCTCCACCACAAGTGGAGAAGCAGAACCAACATAAGTGCCAATTTCCAGCAAGATCTTGTAAGAAATAGTTGTTGATGCCAGCAAAGGACGAGGCAGCGGCAGTGGGGCAAGAGGGACACCTGCAGGGATTATTATTTTGGCTGAGCTGGCTTCATTTCTTGAGTGAGATTCACTCTAAATTTTGCTTAGCCTTAGAAGAACACCTGTGGGTTGAGAAGTGACAGCATTCTAGTTCAACACTGTAGACGAAAGGGAGCTGGGGGGAAATGATTAGAGAAGCAGGTTATGGTCTGTAGACTAGGTACCCATCCCTGATCTAGGAGGCTGCAGTGGATACAATTATTAGACTGAACTTTACACATATGGTCAGCTTTTGAATAATTTATTAGCCTGATAAATGACTGAT